GGCTGAAAATATTAATCACCAAACCATAACGAAATAAACTAATTATAAAATAACTCGTTTTATATCAACAACGTTCTAGGTTTAACTATATTTTCAGTCATGGACCTCAATGCTGGAGACTCCTAGGCTAGGTTAAGACAACTATGGAGCCCCTTCTGACTTACAACAGTTTCTCTACCATAGATGTAACATACAACCACAGTAGATCCAATTCCCAGCTTTGGTAGTTCAAATCATAGCTAGTGAATGTTTCAAAGAGAACAAAGTAAAGCACGTATTTCTTCCATTATTAACTAGGACGTATAACCTTTTGAACGACTTCTGGGTGCTACGACGGTCGCAACTATTACAAAACTGTATAGAAACAGCCTTCGACAAACACCGAAAGTCAATCACATAAATATATTATTTTGAAGGGAAATAAAAGTTTGAAAATTACCCTTAAAATTCTAGATACATCAAACTATATATCATAAGGTATGCAATATTCATTACCATGATATATTTTGTGAGTTTTAATCCTTTTACTAAACTAATAACAAGAGATTGCTTTTCCTTGTAGTATGAATATATATATACATTCATTTTATAAAGCTTTCGTTGTTTTATGTGATTGTATGTTCACTATATTCATCTAGCATGTTTTTGATTTACTTTCTAAAAGCATTTTGATGTATATCATCCTGAAAGGTTGATAAAATTTATTTAATTATTTGATATTCAACATGTAATAGATTTTATCGAACAATTAACATCTTGTTTTTTTTTGTTCTAAATAGTTCATGTATCTTCTATAAAACTTCAGAATGTTTTTTTAAATACTGAAACCAGTCTAATGTACTGATAATGCAATAATGATCAATTTATCGAATATCATAAATGGCATTACAATTAAACATTCTCCGATCGGAAGTAACCAAGTTGTAATATAGTCCATTAGCTTGTGGTTGATCACAGGTTAGCTGCATACTAGCTAGGTACCATTGAACAATATTTATAGATGTGTTCCATCATCTGTGCTCTTAATGATAACATATTTGACGTGTTAATTCCATTAGAAATCATTTTTTCCTTAACTGTAGCAAAATGAACAGTAATTTTAGATGTCGACATCATGAGTCAATTGAAGCTAGATCACCACGGAAAATCAGGAAATACTGGACAACCGTTTCGTCCTATTGTGTGACTCTTAAGAAGCGTACATCCACGATCCCGCCTCACGAGATTCGAACCCAGGACCTATTGCTCTAACGCGCAAGCGTTTAACCTCGAGATTACTGAGCCGGTGTCCAATTGTGTGATCAGTGAAAATTTTGAAATGATTTTTTTTCAGAAAAAGATGAAATATACTGTAAATATTAAATATTTTAATTTTTAAAAACGGTATAAGTAAACTGAACTGGTTTGCCTGACTAAATTTGAAAAAAGCAAGATAGAAGAATTAGCAACAAGTCCACTCTTAGACTCTTTTTAAAATAATATTTTTAGAACTTAACTAAAAGGTGACAGATTTGAAAAGCTAACTAAAAAAATTTACACTTCAATGATAACAACAATTTATTTTTACTACCTAAAAGTTTATTTTTCATTTTGAGCGTTTGATTGACTAAAGTAATTAATTGTATGTTGACATAACTATACATCAGAATATGTTGGACGAATTCATTAGCATTTTTGATAATCAACAAAACATAACTCGTTAAACTCTTCTATTATGTTTCTTTCTCTTTTCACATCTCTTATAAATGACAAATATTAACTACTTGTTATTTCATGGTTTTCTATAAAGTTATAAACTGTAATTGCACTTACTTTATTCCATAATTTACAAATAATAAAATGTTACACATCGTTCGTGTATTGACCAATATCATAGCTGAAGAGTTATTTAAACTAATTTATGTTTAGCAACTGTTTTAAAAAAGTTAATTATATTTACTATTTTCCACAGATTTCTATCAAATAAGTTCATTTGTATTTCACAGTAATCAAGTAGATTACGTAATCTTTTTTACAATTTGATAATGTCCAGAATTGTGGGAGAGAACAAAGCACATCGCAGCGGAGGAAGAATTCAGGAAGAACTGCTGGAAGTGGATAGGACACACATTAAGGAAAGCGCCTAACTGCATCACAAGACAAGCCCTCACATGGAATCCTCACGGCTAAAGGAGAAGAGGAAGACCGATAAACACATTACGCCGGGAAATGGAGATAGACATGAGAAAAATGAACAAGAATTAGATGGGACTAGAAAGTAAGGCCCAGAACAAAGTGGGCTGGAGAATGCTGGCCAGTGTCTTATGCTTCATTAGGAGTAACAGGCGTAGGTATGTAAGTAAGTAATATCCAGAATTATGAATGTAGTTACAAGATTAATGTTAATAAAAGATATTGTATTGGAAGAAGTTCTATTTTAATGAGAAACCTTTGTAAATCTTTAGTTGAGCAATTCTTAAGAGAAATTTATTTAGAGAAAAAAAAGAGAACATTGAAAAGGTAGATAAAGCTTGATAAATTTATTTTGGCAATTGTAATAATTCTGATCTCATTTCAATTTTAGATTAGTAGTTAAGTATATTATACAGATTCGTAATCAGCTTCTTCTTTTGTCAATTTAGTTGATCTTATCTATTTCGATAAATGATCACCAATTTGATTATAAATAATTGTTCATAGATTTATTTCTCATGATAGTGTCATATACTTGTCTTGAAAGCATAAAGTTACGTATTTATTTGTTGATTCCTATAAGAATGATGAAAAATTCAGTGAAACTTTTAGATTATAAAAATCTTGGTGGATTCAAACTAAAACATCTTAGTGATGGTTTTTAGACAACTGAATGAAAATCTAAGGATATACTATAGTGAAAGAGAACACAAGTGGGGACAATCGATTGTATTTGAATACAAATTACAGAATCAGTTAGTAAACTCTGAGAATCATATAGTAAATACTTCATCTGCAAAATGACAATCAATCGTTTCAGACTTCATTGTTCTTTCGTTTCCACACCAGTTATTTTCTGTTTTCGTTCTCATTTCTTCGATCTTCTTAATCTTCTGCCTCCAGGCATTTCACTTTTGATTGATGATACATACTTTTTATATCTGTCGACATCAATATCACAAACCACAATCCTTGTTGATAATTCAACTAACGAATAAATAAATTACTACATAAAATTTATCACCTTACTACAAGGCCTATTCTTACCTCTGAATCAATCTAGACATTATTTTCAACTATATGATAAAACTGCAGGTGATCATCAACTAGTTTATTAATTCTTTGAACTCCATCACTCACAAGATGCATTTAGAATAAAGACAGAATAAAGACAGACAGTGTTAAATTCTAGTTCAGTGACGATAAGAATGAAACTGGTACCAGAAGTGACAGTGATGCTATATTATCGTTCGTATGAAAGTGGGAATGTGTTTCATTGGAATCTAATTTTGTAGGTATTTGCATAGAGCCCGTATGTTAATGAGAAGTTCAACATAGAGAGTAACTACCGTTTTTGTGTTTCTAGATTCTTGATAGTTTTCCAACCGATTTTATTTTTTAGTAAAAAAAGCATAATTAAGCTTCAGTAACCACTGACGTATAACGATATTCCCACTAATTACATATTTTTAATGCATTAAAAATGCGAAATAACGTAAGTCTGTAAAGTTTCTTCTTTACATTCAGGCTTAATTGATATTCTCAGGGATATTTTGTGGAGTTTTAGTAAATTTGTTATATCGCCAGCAGAAAAACCGAGGAATTGTTGGTTGTGATTACTCCCCAGTGCTGATGTTAACCCTAGAATTCCAAACTAGTACTCTTCACTTCAAATTTCAACAAGTTATAACGAATGAACTGAGTCCAGATTGCATTCAGCTTAGCTAAAGATATACCATTTTCTGTAAAATGATTGAGAAAATTTCGAATTTAGTGGCCCATATAATTACATATGCAAAAAGATCAAGTGATTGAACAATAATGTAATCAATTAGAGTTGACTCTTGCATTATTAATGTAAACTAACGTTAACTGGAACTGGTAGATAATTATTCATACCTCTTGATTGATTACTTTTGGGCTTCTGTAATCATGATGTTATAGTTTTTACAAACGATGATAAATTATGTGACTTTAGCGGAAATCTCAAGAACAATGTGATATTCAGATTTTCATAAGCTTACTATTTATAAAACAGATGATATTAATCCTTGGACACATGGTTTTATCATAATACACTTCTGGCAGTTCTTAAATTAGTCTCCTTACACCAAGCTGCATCTAGACTTCATGACACTTTTCATTACCAATGGTTGGAACCTTAAAACGAAAGATACTCCATCTCATTCTGAAATATTATCATTGAACTATATAGGTCACGTTTATTTCTGGAACTATAAGTTCAAGTTTAATTCCTGCTAGAATATCATTTGCCTTAAGATTATAAATGCTGGTCAGTAAAAACAACTTGAAATGGATCTAGATTTTACTCATCAATACCTCTAACCACTTTATTATTATACGGACATTTATTCTGTAACAAACTATTATAGAAATATGTAGTTGATCAAAGCCTCTATATATTCTGAATAAAGGAAAATTTATATTTAAATTGAATAATGTTTCACAGAAACAATTTTACACGTATCAAGTTGTCATGTACATTAATCCAACTAAATTCTATTCCACTAATCATAATAAACCAGTCTTCTGATTGGATAAAATTCCAACCAGATAAATAAATTTAATTTTCAATTTATTAAATTTTCATTTATCATGTAGCTTCACTCAAGAAATTATTTTATTTTAAATTATAATAAACAAACTCAATTATTTATTTCATGTTTATTATAAATTATAATAAACATATATTAAACTTGTATATTTTCATTTTACATTATATTGGATTTATATTTTATTATGGATCAATTTTGTTAGTCATTAATATTTTATTAATAAAATTCGATATGATATGTTGTTGGGGTATGAATACATCAATCAATGATATTCATGTTCCAAAATATGTTCGAATTAAACTCAAAGAAGAATCACCTTCAGGAACAGTTGTAATAAATATTGGAGAATTTTTAAACTCTGTTCCATTAACTAATTATAACACTTCAAATAACATTGAACATGATTTAAAAAATAGAATGTTTGTTGTACCATCTAGTTTGACATTAGTCTCTGAAATCTCATCAGTGACCCGTTTATTCCGATTAAACAAAGAAACTGAAAGTATACATACAGTGATGGCTATTGATAGAGATACATTATGCAGTAAAAATCAGTTATGTTGTTCAAATCCAACAATTAAAAACAGTATAAATGGATATATAGATACTTCTGGTCGAATGCCTATTTCAGGTGGTGGTCAAACATATAAATCATATGACAGTAAAACGGCAGATGTTTGTTTAATACAGTTTCGTGTAATTTTTTCTATGCATTATCATCATGATTTTGTTGGAAACAATCAGATGGATGGATCAACTGAGAAAATGGCATACATTACGGTAGAAATTGAATTATTGGATATTAATGACAACTCACCACAGTTTATTCTCCCTGTTCCTATGCCAAAAACAACTACACTTTTGTATAATCCAATACCTGTAATTGAAATATCCGTTGAAGAATCAATGGAATTACATACTTGTATACAATTGCCTAAAGCATTAGATTTAGATTCGAGTATTTATGATGTAACTGAGTATCGAATAGAATCTTTAACTCAGTCAGATATCTTTCAATTAAAAAACAAACTTTCCCATTCAAATCTTATTGGGATAGATAAAAATGAACTCCCGTTTTCATTAGAACACAAGTCGTGCACTGATCCATTAGTCCAGAATTACATTGAAGTAGACATGAATACTCCCGTGCAACAAACAAATGAAGGATTCGAACTAATTGCAAACAATGAACTGTTGATACCCTCATTGAAAGTTATTGGTCATCTTGATCGGGAAACAATCGAGTATTATTGGATAAAGCTGTTGGCAATCGATGGGATTAAATATTTAGAGACTGACGCTTCCGGTTATCAGGATGTAAACAATAAAAAGCCATCAAATGAACATTCTTTTCAAAATACTAAACATACTGGCACCATTTTGATTCGTATTCACATTATAGATATCAATGATAACATTCCTATAGTACCGAGAGCACTGAATCTTGACGTTTCAGAGGATGCTAAGGTAGGCACATTATTAGGAAGAATTAATGGTACTGATCCAGATCTTAGTGACAATGGTAAATTACACTATCACCTTATGATGGATCAGACAGGGATATCAAATTTCCCATTCGTTATCGACTCACAAACAGGGAGTATAACAGTTAACAGACCACTAGATGCTGATAGACTACCTCAATCGAATAAGCACTTACGATTTAAAGTACTAACTAGTGATTCCGGTAAACCAATTTCACATTCCTCTTATACAGTAGTTGATGTCCGTATAAATGATGTCAATGATGAAACACCCCAGATTAAAGTTATAGATTTAGAGAGCCGTAGTAATCCACCGTATCCTACAGTGATGGAGAATAGACAGCCAGGTCAATTAGTGGCATTCGCTACTGCTACCGATGCAGATTCTGGTCCTAATGGTGCACTGTCATGTCGTATAAATAATCCCAAGTTTAAACTTGAGCAAATAACTTTATCAAACTCTATTCCAGACATTCACTCAAATAATAACTTCAATTTTTATAGTTTTGAACCGTTGAGCAGTCAATCCTTAAAAGAGCCTCTAAATACATTAGATTTTAAAGTAGTCACTTCCACAGAACTTGATCGTGAGCTGAGTACGATAGAAATCGTAGAAATTGCATGTACAGACCAACCGTTGAATAGTGCAACAGTACGTACAGGAAGAATACAATTTTATGTAAGAGTATTAGACGAAAACGACAACCCCCCTACATTTAATACACATAAATTTCAGTTGGATATTTTAGAAAATACACCACCGGATGAAATCATATTTATTTTCAATGCAACAGATCCAGATTATCAGAATCATTTATCTGGAGGAAATACACGTCGAATGAATGAACCTAACTATCATTACATTCATCAGCAACAACAACGTCAAAATTTGTTAAGCATTCAGTCAACGAACAGAATTAAATATGCGATTGATTCAAATGGACAGCAATATTTACGTATTGATCCAGACACTGGTATTTTGTATAGTAAAGTAAAAATTGACAAGAACATTGTTGATGAAATCAAATTCAATGTGACTGCAATGGATAACGGCCATCCACCCAGAAATGTTACGGCTGAAGTATTTATCAATATTATAGATCAAAATGATCATGCACCAAAATTTGAAAACCAAATATTCTATTATAATTTATCGGAAGATTTGCCAGTGAATTCAATCGCAGCTATACTAATTGCACACGACGATGACTTTGGACAAAATGCGGAAATCACATATAAATTAGATGACTTACAAGTAAGTCTGATTTGCTTGCTTGTAAAACTATTTATTCTCGTTTCTTTGATTAATATGTAAAGTTCACAACAGCGTAAATTAATATCTCTGCAAGTTAGTCTTACACAACATAGAAGATGTTGCTATCCCATTCAGTGACAAAATCTGAGAGAATTACTGTGATGAAAAGTAAATAAGTCAAATTTATCAATAACAACAGTAAACCAAACACTGATCAAAAAGTAAGAGGAAGATGAAGAATGATTACAACTTCAAAGATGGCTCAATAAACCTGCCAATGAATACTTAGTGTAGTGTTATATACAAGTGTTGCTCCCCTCTCCCATAATTTTGCAAATCATCCTTCTTTCGTTCATTATAACACATCAAAATATAAGTTGGTTAACTATATAAAACTTATTTCAATAAATTGCAATTTAAACACGACATTTATATCTATCTGAATTAATAAGTGGTGTGCTATTTGTTTGTCACAATACCTGTAAGGTATTAAAGCCAATTTTATTACTGTAGGACCGAAAGTGGAACACAGGGGAACTAAGGTCAAATATGACGCTAGAAAAATGAAAAATCTGATGGTAGATAATGATTACATTCACCCTCCAAAACGTGATAGATTCTTTAACTAAATACATTCATTTATGTACTAATTTTACTGAAGTTTAATGATTACTTAGTAAATATTCTTGATAACCGAAAATGAACATAAAGATGAGTTAAATCACCAAATATCCCTAAGTATTACGCTAAATTATAACGCAGTTTATATCCTGTCCTCACTAATAAGCCCTGTAAACATGAAAGTTAGTTTCCGAAATGACTTTCATTGAAAATTCACTAGTTGATTTACAGTACATTATTGTTAAAAAATCACTTCGTAAACAGCTGACAAGAAAGGATGAAAATTTAATTCTCTTGTTTGTATATACCACACAAAGAACGGATGATATATATTAGGAATATGTAGGTGTAATAGATTTTGAACAGCATTATCGAATGTGAAATTCTTAGTTTCTTCTTCTTCTATTCTTTTAGTAACCATTAAGTTTCACTTATCGTTTGACTTGATTTTTATGTATTTTATTATAATGGGAATAATATTTTTGCAATATCTTATAAAACAGAGAATTTGATTTGTAATTTTTCCTCTCTGTTGTGTTGGTCACTTCATTAGAAAATAATTATTGATTTCAGTTTAGCAAGAATTGAACTAACAAAATGAATTTGCTCATATGAAAGTCACCTAATAGCAACTAAGTTAGGGATGTTAGTTTTACATATATCATCATTTTCCTAAACGTCTAAAAACAATTTTCACTACTGATTGGCATACCACAAAATGAGTCAATCTACTTAGAAATTAACTAGTTGGTCCTCAGTTTAAATCGAACATTTAATGAGATTTATAAAATTCCCAAGAATTACAACCAACACATATTTTTGTCAGTTAGCATTGAAATCATTAGGAAAAGAGTTTATAACACAACATGGATTGTAGCCTAAACTGTTGTATGCACTATTGAAAAAATACCTATCGAGTAAAGATGAGTATTTCTTAAATTTTAATCATTACCGCACAATTGTTTCTTGCAAGTCTGATATGTTAATTTGATAATTTAATAGTTGAATTCATGAGTCAATAAAAGCTAGACCACCATGAAAAACCTAGAAGCACTAGATGGCCGTTTCGTCATAGTACGTGACTTCTCAGCAGTGCGCGCCCGCGACCCCGCACACGAGATTCGAAAGTAAAGCCTTTGGTCTCGCGCGCGAATACTTAACGTCCAGGTCACTGAGTTGGCATCCGACGATGTTAATGTCTAATTTCAACTAATGCCCGAAATTGTGCTATTGTCTAACTTTGTCTTCAGTGAGTTACTATCTCACAACAGACCCGCTTGAACACTGGTCACTGCTTTACACTAGATATACCTCTTGAAGCCAGTACCTAGTGAGTACAAAGCTACAAAACCTCTTTCTGATAATTAACGGTAATTACAGTACAACTTTGCTTTGTAACAACTCATTAGTTTAATCTAACTGACATGTTTAATTTCATATTTAAATCATTTGAAATTTCTAAGTTTACATTGACAATAGAATTCAGTTAATGAATATGACTGTTAAACATTCAAGTCACTAAATAATACGACATTTTTTTACTTTTATTAAAGTTATTTATTCTAGCAAAAGGTTTCCCAGTGAAATGTAATAAGGCATTGAGTATGTTGAACGATAGACTATTTATTTAAATATTTACAAGTTTAGTGTGTATCATTTAATGTTTTTTACTTAAAAGCCCCTGTTTTTAACTGAAGTTTCACAAATACATGAAATAAAGACATTTCTGTGTATTTAATTTGAACGAAAAGCTCATTTAAAACTACTTTATTGTATGTTGTGCTTTAGAAGGATAATAGGTCAGTCACATTATACTGTTGAAAAAGATTTGTATTTGCATTCAAACATTGAAAATATTCACATTAATTCGGTTGATAGTCCTTATTGTTATAAGAAAGAAAGATTAGTTCAGCGAAGAGTTCTCTTTTCGGCGAATTCATTTTCAAAGCTGTACAATCGCAAATATATATACTTATTTTTACAGGGTGATAATAATACTGATAATAAACTTATGATATACATGGTGACGGTGAGGTTAAATAAACAAAGGTATTAGAAAAAATTTTTTAAAACAAGGAAAGTTTGATAGTTAATGGCTTAGATATTCATCGGGTAAGAGTAGCTCAGCATGATAAAATAACATAAAATGTTGAAACAGAGATGAAATGTAATCGGAATGATCGTTGAAATAAAAACAAACCGGTTGGGGGTACAAGATTTGAAGGGAAGATGGAAGGTGAAACAGGTGGCTGTAAAAGAACAAGAGTAATGAGGAAGAGAAAAAATTTTTTAATACCTTAAGACCACGGTAAAAGAAGAGGTTGTACCAGTCTCTTTTGTACACATAATTCTGGTTTTTCAAAATGTATGGCTATTGCCTCGGCAATGCAAAGGAGATGTAGTCTAATTGTCTTAGGAAGGTTTCTACTTACCTTGTAGATGACTTTGAGCGCAGAGTCTGTCTTGATTGAGTGACCTGTGTTCACAAGGTGTTCGATTATAGAACTTCTTATTGAGCCGCTGCCTCCTCTTCTTAGCCACGCCGGACAGTGTTCTTGAATTCTTTTGGATAAAGTACGCATCGAACGACCTATATACCTAGCTCCACAAGAGCAGGTAAATTGTTATAAACGAAAATGTGTTATTTACTGAGCTGTTTAAACCAGTAGTTGTTAAATAATAATTCCAGAGAAGTAGTTTATTCCATTAACACACATATTAAACCGTTCACCGAAAATTCAAGTTTCAAAAGTCTATATATATATATATATATATATATATATATATATATATATATATATATATATCATACGCCTATAAGCCAATGAATAGATTTCTATATTTTTACTTTGTGTATAAGACAAGAATAAAGTAGAAACTTGTGTAGCTTTAGTGATAATCTGATTTTCATGAAATGCCGTCAATATAATATGTCAGATGAAAAAATAGTTCTTGTGAACTATGTAAATAATCCATATAAAAGTCTATCAATTCCTGGGTTACTTCACGTTTATTTAGTAAAGTAAATGTCTATAAAGCCGATATTTTATAATTTAAATCGATCTAACAATTATTTGTAACATGTATAGTGTAAAATTTAACACAAATATAATGAAACAACTGAGGAACTAATTTTTAGTCTAAAGGTTTGTATTTTATGATATTCATTAAATGAATATATTTTAAATATTTTATAGATGTTCATCAAGATTTGTGTATTTATGCTGTTCATATAATGATCTCCATCTATCAGTTGGAATCCTTAATATCAACAATAAAATGATACATACCTCAGTTGACACCTTCCTTCACACTAGGCGTATTAATGGTTATCTGAACTCATCAGTTTAGTGCACAACAGATTGACGTTTAAAGCTATTGTAACTAGTGTTTTGTTTCAGTATGAACATCAACAGTATAATGCAGAAATATCTTGTTGATGAGTTCAAAATAGAATGAAACATGAATCATGAATTCTGTTAGTGATCATAATCTAAATATACTATGTGTTTTATTAACAAGTTAAAATGTTGTAGAAGTACTTTGTCAATTATAATTGTAAACACGGTCCAATTATTTTTATGATATTAAATTCATTGAAGCACAAATATTAAGTCATTTAATATCCACTGAATGTCAATAAACTCATTTTGAATAAAAAATAGCAAATACATTATAGAAATGCAAAAGAAATGTGGTATTTGCATGAATAATGAATATCATCCTCATAGAATTCTTATCATGATCCTTCGTAACTTTATTTTACTGACCTAAAAGAATAAATATTTTTCAATGGGTTAAGTTAGATTTGTATGTAAAATGAAATTAATGTGATAGAACGCATTGTGAATTGAATAATAAGATCAAATAATTGGTTGGTGATTACTAATTACATAATATGAAATGAAATAACTGTAAATATAATGATGTCTGCTGAATAAATTATCTAACACTGTGCAACGAAGCCGTTGCTAACAATCAAAATAAATTAATAATGACTATGACTGAATCAAGTAATAAATATCCACGGAGACTAACAAAATAAGTTGAATTGAGTCATTATGTAACAGATATAGACGGGTTCTTTAGCTTTGAGTCTAACCAATTTAAAAATGGGGCTAAATATATATCTTTAGAAAAGGAACTTTTCAAACTATTGAACCTAACGATTTTTTTAACAGCTGAATAATTGATTACATCTCCTAACTAATAAAGGTCACATACAACAATATTTAGGTCACTTTGAGAATTAATTGCTCAAATTGTATGATCACATTTTGAATAATAAAATTATAATCATGTAATCAAAAGTTATCTGTGAAAAGTATTTTTAACGAGACTATAATTTATGGGTGATTTTTGAGTGACGCTTAAGTGAC